CGCAGTTGGCGGTGTAGTCTGAACGAAGATGTTGATGGACTTTCTGGAGGTCCGTGGCCGCTGCGTGACGCTCAGCGAGCGTCTTAGAGAGAGCAGCAACCTGGGTTCTCTGTGCACAGAGATCGGCTTCGAGGGATCCCTCCTCTTGATGAGCGTGCGCGGTGGCGGAGCGGAGCTGCTCCTGGAGTGCGTACTGCCGAGCTGTTGCCGCAGCTTCGCGTTCCATTGCCACCTGCAGCGCAGCCTGTGTCGTGTTAGCAAAGACTCAAGATAGACACTGACTGTTCGTACCTTCTGCGCAGCTACTGCTGCGCGAAGACCGTCTAGCTTCTGTTGACGAGCTAGCCGGTTACGCCTAAGGGTCTCTTCTGCCTCGGAAGAAAATCGACGAAGCAACTCATTTTCAGCCTCAAGACTTTGCTTCTCTGCCCGGACTACGCTGAGGGTGTCGTTGAGGGTCGAGAGTTCGCGAGAAGCAGAAGCGGCAAGACCCTCTGCGGCCTGGACCTTAGCCTTCGCGAGACCGTCAGTCCCCGCAATGTCTCCTGTGGCAGCAATACTTACCTGAGAAACAACAATATCGTCTTTGAGCTTTTCGATGCGTGTTTCGTGAGCTTCGGTGAGGATTGCAGCTTCGCGGTCCTCGTCAGCTATTTCGAGACGAAGGTTATCCAGCCGTTCCTGGAACGCATCGCCAGACGCCTGGAGGACGACAACTTCTTTTTCTCTTCGGTTCTCGAGTTCGTTGTGATGAACGTCGAGAGACGCAAGGCGGGCCTCAACAACGTCGCATTTGTCGAGGACGATATCCAGAGCGACTTGTGCACCCTCGATGCCGTGCTGGAGTAAAATAAAACTCATTGAGCATTCGAACCTTGTCAGCGACAGATGGCTTACTAGGTCTTCGAGGGGTCGGTCGCCTAAGGCAGCGGAGTCTATGACGAGAGCGTTCCACTTCTCGTCATGCTTTGCCAGAGCAGCCTGGTGCTCGTCGTAAACGCGTACCCATTCACGAAGAACGTCGCTCAGAGCGCCATGGTCAGCCTCCAGAGCAGACTTGCCAGAGATGTTGTCGAGCCATCTCTTGGCCAGTCGAGGTGTGTCGCGGGGCTGCAGATCCAGTGAGCAGCTATCGTTAATAAAGACTGAAGAAGACTTACAAGAACAGATGCGACAAGGAGAATGAACGAAAGTGCAGACCACAGAATGACCTTGCGCTGGACAGCCTTGGGGTCATTGTGGTCTGCGGGCGGGACCTGTTCGTTGTTGGCAGCGTCCGCGGTGGTGTCAGCCGACTCAAACAATGTCGTGGAGTCAGCATGCTCCTCAAATGTCGGACCAAAAAACACTTCAGTCTCGACGTCGGGGAAGGGTCCGTCAACTGAAGAGTTGACAGAGCCGAAGGTCCAGTAGCCATGGTTGCCGGACGGGGCCCATTTGGCGAGGGGGTCCGGTGGATAAGGGATCCAGAGGGGCGCGAGGGTGGTAGGGCCAGACATATCAAGCGCAGAGGAAAACACATCCCCCAGCGTGAGGATCAGCTGAGGGTATTGGAGGGTGCCAGGCGTGGGGAATCGAACCCACGGCAAGGCGGAGAAGATGGCGTACAAGTACACCAGGATCACACGTAACAGGTACATGTTGCTCGAGGGAAAGCGAGACTGGAGGCATGCGTTTGGATCTTATATCTGTGACGGGAGGCTGGCCATCGAAGTCAGCCTCACCGACTGATGAGGCTCACTTCGATCGCGGCCTTGCACCCAAGTTGAAGGCCTGAGCCATGTTCAGATTTGGGGAACAGTCGACATTGGAATTCATGCTCCAACCATTGCGCTTGATTGTGAGGGGAAGTGGTCGTTTGTGCAGCCTTGTGATATGAGTTAAGGCAGACTGTAAACAAGATGAGCGAGAGGCCATCACGCCAAACCGCCGGGATATCCCGAGGGCCTTGTGGCGAGGCGCGCTAAGGAGATGGCTTGGCCATATGTTGACTTATATTCATGTCGCTGCTACTGCATGTTGTCGCGGAGCGACGATCACGGCTGCGCGAGCGCGAACTGGCTGACCGAGGACGGCAGCATGCGGGCACGATCTAATACACACACCTTGAAGGGCGAAGCCCGGTAAGTCTGGGTGCGAAGGGAAAGAGCACACATGTGTACTGTACCTAGTACACACAAGGGCGGGGCCCGGTGAGCTAGTACGGTATGAGCGTAAGACATAATGCAAGGGCAACAAGGAATACTCACTCTGGGTGCGAAGGGAAAGAGCACACAGAA